ATACACTCTTTTGCATCGCATCTCAACTATTAGTAATATCAGGCAACCTTAAATTGGTTGCTTACTCAATAAAACTAGGGATCTCCCCTGACTACCTTTCTTGGCTGAACTTTCTTGTCAAATCACTGAGAGGAGTTGCTATTGTAGCAAAATTTGGTACAAATTTGCGATCGTATCCAGCCATGTCTGAAAATGACCTTACTTGCTTTACTGTTTCAGGTCTGGCTGCATGGCTTCTATTTTATCTGGCAATACTTGCAAAAAACAGTCACCTACCTGGTGACCAATAAACTCTAAATTAGTAAAACCAAAGAAACAATTTGAAGGTCTTTCGGCTACTCCTGCCTTTCTTAAACGAACTAAAACATTCTGTACAATCGGTACATGCTCATCAATCAAATTCTCAACTCTACCTTCAAGAACCTACCAACAAAGTACGCATCATACAGAAAAAAGAGGCTGGTGCATTCACATGCCTAAATGGCATTCGTCGAAACTGAAATAAACCATCAGGTGTTAGAAAGGCTGTCTTTTCTTTAGCTCCCTCACAATTGGGAACCTGCCAATACCCCCTGGTTAGATCAATTTTGGTGAAGTACCAACCCTCTTTTAATCATGAAAATAGACATTCTGCATCGAACAATGTAATGTGATTGAGTTTGCAAAAAACCCCTCCTTTCTTTTTTTACCAAAACAATGGGCGAGGCATTAGGTGAATTTGATAGTTCCATTAAACCCATCTCCATTATAGTCTTAACCTCTGACCTCACTATATCTGTTATAGCGAATGGTAAAAGTTATGGTTTTGACCTAACTGGTTCAGATGTTACCAATTCAAATATCATGCTCGCCAATTGTAGACTTTCCAGGAGTCAGCGAGAACATCAGAAAATTCTCTCTTAACTCCATCAATCTCTCTATGTTGGTCAACATTCAACTCATGGGCAACATGGCTATCAACATTTATTTCCGTACACTGAATTTTCACAGACTCCAATTCACAACTATCACATGGTATTGGTCACCGTCAGCAGTACCGTATTCTACAACAGCAGTGCCCTCACAGTTCATCACACCCATAACCACTTTCTTGTCAGTTTGCCCACTAACTGAAGGCTCTTTTATCTCAACACCTGGAGAACAACCTTTATCAATAGAGGGCACACTAGCCTGACTACTAGTTGATGTACAACCTTCATTACCTAAGGGGACACTAGTCACAATACCAGGACAAAAACCTTCACCACCAGAGAGCATACTAGTCCCATCACTCGAAGGAGTACTAAGTTCACCACCCGAGGGCGAATTAACCTCACCATGCCCTACCTCATGAGCTAAACCTAGCTTCCAACCAGAATCAGGATCCTTGGACTCTCTAGCCCCACTTATATTATCAATAATAAGATCATACACTGGGGTCCTCATACACAGTGCCTCAACCTCACCAACATAAAAGGGTGTATCTATATATAGTCCAGCTACTGAGGCTTTCCGACATGTACCATCCATCATCACACAGGTACGACTCTCCCTCGTCAATTGACTATCCTCTACCAAATCTCTACGTACTACAACCAAATTACATCCACTATCACGAAGGAACAACAGGCATACCACTCACTATAATATTAGCCGGTGCAACACTGGCTCATGGATGCCTAATTTCATCTGTGACTTGTAACATCGACTTCCCGTGAATCATTATTTCTATTTCGATCACATACAATCATAGTAACTGACTTAACCTGAGGCTCGGAACTTTTATAACTCTTAGGACAACTAAAAGCAGAGTGATTCGGATCACCACAAATATAACAGCCTGTATTTAGCTTAGACTGGGCAAATCGACCCTGTTCTTTACCATTCTGACTACCACCTTTAAACTGGCTAGATTTCAGATTTTTACCACCCGTCTGTCTACGTGCATCTCTAAACTTGTCAGACAAAATGGCTGACTTAACTGACTTTGATGACCTTTCACCTATGAAAACAACTCGTAACCAAATGTACTCAACTGATCTCTCATCACTAAGTCCTTAGCTCTTTCAAAACTTTTATCAACGCCAGACAGCCTTACCCACCAGTCAAAATGACTACTTAATCTAGCTACAAATTGTGAAATGCTCTCTCCACCTTCTGCCCTACTAGTTCGAAATCTCTTTCTATAACCTTCATCATAAGACTTCAACAAAGCTGCCTTTACAACATTGTAACCAATGGACTCTGCTGCAGGCAATGCTGAAAACACATACAATGCTTTGTCTGTCAATAATGCACTAAGATTCATAACGCAACTGTCACACGGCCATTGCTGAGTTGCAGCAAATCGCTCAAACATTAAAATAAATTTGCCAGTCAGCTGTGAATGCTGTTTGAATAACTATGCTGCTTCATTAGTCAAATGATGCACATGCAGTGTTTGGCATGATTCAACTTGAAGGCCATTGATACTAAGCTTCATGATTAAATGAAGAAAGTATCAAATCAATGCCCGCCCATTTGGGCTGAACCACACACTTCCTCCAAAATTTATACTAGAAATTTTAGTAGCATAGCCATAGATAAATATAGATCAATATCTTGATGACAGGCTTATAAGAACACGTCCACCAGACAATCAAGATCATATACTTGGAACCTTGTCTTTCAGGGAATAGACTTTGACACATGACTAGGTCTTGTAGGACTTTGTGCACCATGATCAGGGACCTACTTGTCACGTACTCGAAAGACTAACTGCACAGCCGAGAGCTCTAACAAGCTTTATGAGAATAATTTCATCCATGTGAACAATGGTACCACACACCAAGGTTGGCTATTAGGTACACAATTGGTAAATACCCCAGCAAGTCAGGAACAGACTTATCCTACATACAGGGACACAGATTAATTTAGCAGATGTGGCACAGAAGAGCACAGACTCAATCCCCGATTGAGTCTGATGTGTCATGGCTACTGTTATAAGAGCCAGCTGCTTGTGAGGATGTAGTTCATGTACAAAATGAAAGGGGTGTCATCTAGCTGGTAGAGGTCAGAAACAATGTGGCAGATACATCAGCACTTGCACTTAACTTACAATACCTACCAGACACCACCCTCCTCCTGTCACTCTTTTGCGTTTGTTCTATTTGTGAAAAATGTTAGCACTGGCCACTTGGGTCGCCGGCACCTCTTTATTGCCGGTTTCTCCAACCCAATGTTCTAGTTTTCAGAATTTGGAGCTTTTGGATGGTTAAAGCCCAATCAGTTTCATTTGACTATTAAATGGTGGGAAGGTAAAATTTCAAACTCAAAGGGGGAATTTGTTTATATTGACAGACCATACACGTAGTCAGATGATGCAGCTCACTGCAATTCTCAATAAATGTCAACCTTGCGTTTCATGTCCATCTTGAAAACAATGAGACAATCTAAATTTCAGTTCATGATTATTTGTTTATTTTACTGTCTGAGAATAAACAGTTAACATAAATGCTTACGTCATCATTCAGACCACAACCTTCTAACAGTGAATATCAATGTTGAACCCTACACTTTTGGAATATGGCATCCTTAGTAGTAAAGTTGTACCATTTAAAGTTTAGTATTGGCATTTGAGAAACATGAGCAAAGTTATTTTCTTGCTTCATTTATTGAGTACGACTAGTCAACTTTAAATCAAATTTCATCCACTTATTGAGTCATTTTTTCATATGAACATTTTTACTTTGTCCCATTACATCTTCCATTTTTTGAATGTTTTTTTTTTATAGTTATTGGCAAGCGAAAGGAAAAAAATATATAGGCTAAACTTGTGATATTTTGGTAGTCGCAATTTTCAATTCAACAAAGCTTGGGAGCCATTGCAAATTTTGTAGAAAATGCACAGATGTACATTTTCGTAGTGATTTTTAAAAATGTGCAAATGTTCACAGCTAAATGTATTCAATACGTTCCCAATTACAAAGTATTGTGAACAAGCTTTGGTGTTTTATGTTTGAAAGTACAGTTATGACATCACAGATACTTATTCAGTTACCTTTAAACATGTCGAAATAAAAACATTTCTGTAATGTTTCAAAGAAAAAATGATGACAACTGTCACAGTATCCAATTTTCAATAAGAAATATACATTGTTTAGGATATTATAAATAATATATTTGTCTATATGGTTGCATTTTAGAACACAAGGTTATATCTTTGAACAAAATATGTCAAGTCATGTTTGAGAAATGGTGAAGACAAAATCATCCTGGCTGCTAGTCATCCATTTATAATTAAATCACAAAGCCAGGTACCAGACTGGGAACACTTGACATATTAATGGCTGCTAGTCAGAGGTCATAGAACTTAAATCAATGTACATACTATGTCTTGTCTTTGAACAAAGTTGATAAAGATGTGTCAGAAAAATTACTCCAGAAATATAGACATGGCCGCCAGTCAGTCCTTTTGTATCAACTCTTTCAAAAAAGTGACATGCCTCAGTAATGTACCATTTGTGATATTCATAATAAGTTTTAATTTAACAGACTCTTGCATGCCTCGGAATTTCTTCAAATACTAATTTTGGGTGTTCTGGGGACTAAAACGGCTGCCATTTAGTTTGTTCTAATAAAACCAAAACACATTTGACGTGCACACATGTATGTATACCATTAGGTCCTATCTGTTCTATTTTGAACCAATAGTATTCCATCATATGTGATGTTCATTCGAATTTCAAATAAATATAGACTAAAACATGCCTAATGCCAATCCAAGTTTGATTGAAATAAGATGTCATTTTCATATGTTGATTTGTGGAGTTTTGGGGGTCAAAACTGGCTGCCAGTCAAATGTTAACAAAATTAATAACTGACGTGCACATGTTTTCCATTATGACTTGCCTTTATACCAACGTTAAATAAACTTCAGAAAATTATGTCAGAACATGAAAGAAACCAACAAGTTCTTGACAGGACTTTTCTATTAGGCAAAAAATAAATATAGCACTTTACTCTGGAAAAACAATTCACAACTAAAATAGAAATGTCATCCCTAAAACCTCAGCTCCTCGTTTCTTCCTAAATACGTTTTTTATTTTCTTGAAGCAAACATTTACAGAATCACAATTTTTTTGGTCTATATTTTGAAATTGCTTCTGAATTGCTTGGTCATTTCTTGCTGTAAGAGAGACTCCATCACCCAAACTTTCTGTCAAATGTGCTCGTTTATGTCTAGTACAGTCACTCTCCTTGGGGTGACAATTCCCACATCGGTCACATTTGTGTGGTTTTTCCCCTGTGTGTTCAGTGGTGTGCTGTTCCAGTAAATATCTGGTGGAAAAACCCTTTCCACACAGTTTGCAATATATTGTTTTTTCAAAAGTATGTTTCTTCTTTACATGACGATTCAGTTCGGATGAAGTTGCATAATACACACTGCAAGTTTCACAGTGAAACTGTTTTTCACCGGTGTGTGACTGCATATGCCTGACTAAACTGGATTTAAGAGAAAATCTCCTACTGCACATGGTGCATTGAAAAGATTTTTCTCCAGTGTGGGAAAGAATGTGCATATTTAAGTGCACTTTCAGCAGGAACAACTTTCCACATTTGTCACATTGATGCTGCTTATTCTTGGTGTGCGTTTCTATGTGCTGAGCAAGACAGCTGGCAGATGAAAATACTTTCCCACACTTTTCACACTGCAAAGGTTTTTCACCGGTGTGTATTCTCCTATGAGCAACAAGATTCCCTTTACGGGTAAATAGTTTTCCACATATCTCGCATTGGCCATGTTTTTTCCCACTATGTGTAATTAGGTGTAACGCTAGAGATTTGCTACGTGCAAAAGATTTCCCACATTGTTGGCACTGGAATGGTGTCTTACCAGAGTGAAGTGACAAATTGTGCTCTTTCAATATTGTCTTGGTTCTGTACCATTTTTTGCATAGTTTGCACTCAAATGGCCTCTCATCAGTGTGTGTCCTCATGTGTACTTTCATATGTCCCTTTACTGGAAAACCCATCCCACATGTTTCACACTGGAATGGCATAACTTGTGTATGCTCGACCATGTGCTTCTGGAGACTGTAGTTCCACTTGAATCCTTTTCCACACTCTTCACATTTATGTACAAATTCTCCCTTGTGATTCCTCTCATGATGAATGGCATAGTATTTGGACTTGAACTTAAATCCACAGATTGAACAACTAAATGGTTTGTAATTAGTGTGAGTCAGTGAATGTTCATTTAATTGACATTTCTTACTAAATCTCTTCCCACACTCAGAACATTGGAGTGGCTTAACATGTGACAAAGAATGATCTTTCAACTTACTCTTGAGCTGAAAACACTTCCCACAGACTTCACACTGGTGTGGCCGCATTTGTTCTTTTGTTGTATTTGTATGATGTTTCTTGATATGGTTATACAATGTATGTTTGGATGTGTACTTGTTTTCACACTGATCACATTTATATGGTCGCTCACCAGTGTGTATTCTCATGTGATTTTCAAGTTGCATGGGGGTATGAAATCTCTTTTTGCATACTCTACATTCACAAGGCCTTGCTTCTTTAGGGATGTGTGTGAGTTGGTGGCTTTTTAATACATGGCGATACTCAAACATTTTCCCACAGGTGTCACATTTATGAGTCCTTTCTTGCTTCTTATTGCACGTTTGCATATGCTTCCTAGAGTGACTCAGTAATTCTGCTCGACTTCTGCATCTCTGTTCACATACTTTGCATTGGTATGGCATCAAGCTTCGATCATGGACCATAAGATGGAATTTCAATATACTTGAACTACTGAACTTTTTTCCACAGCTTTCGCACTCATGGCGTAATTTTGCTTCTAGATAACTCGGATCCTCATGCTTTTTTATATGTAGACGCAAATATTTTTTTGTTGCATACCTTTTATCACAATGTTTACATTGATATGGTTTCTCACCTGTATATGTTCTGTTAGTTGCAGATGAATATGTGGATATTTCATTTACTTCTTTTACAACTGTTTTTTCTACTTCATTATTCATTATATTCTCAGCTTTCAAGTCAAATTTTGACCTGGGCAAGTTCGCTAAGTTGGTAGCAGCACCACTTCTCTGATGGCTTTCATTTAATATTGCACTCGATTTATCTGGCATCTCTTGCTGACAGCTATAATTCCTTTCCATGATGAATGCCAGTGTAATGCAAGTTCATAAAGATTCTTCTACAATGTAAGATACAAATGGAAATCAATGAAACCTTAGAAACAACTCATGTGTGCTAAGATAATTTAAAGCATGTAGGTACAAATAAGAAAATACTGTATTTAATATACTACTAGAGACATAACTGAAAGCTGTGACTAGTTGGTTCCCAGTGTTATAGTACATGTATAAATAAATATATGATGAATTGTTATTTTGTATATAACACATTGTATCTGCAATTACAGTATTGAGATGATAAAGTTATGCTTAAGTAACGTGACCATATGTGGTCATCTGATACATTTGTGGTATCTCACGGAATAACACATACCACCTAATACATGCCTCTATCTATAGCATTGATTAAGATATAACAGTAATTCTTATTAATGAGGTAACATAATCGTATGTAGTCATCAATACATTTGTCACATCTCTCATCCAAGGCTTTCATTATAGCACTTGTTGCATATCTATCTTAAGCAGTGCTCGAGATAAAACACATGCATAATAATGAGATCACATGACCTTATATGGGCATGTGATAATTAGTCATTTCTCATGTGCAGCATGGATTGCATATACAATCGTTCTCTAAATATTAAAATTATGCATATTAATAAGCTCACATGACCAACTGTTAACAAACGTACTGGTTGCAATGTCCAATTTGCAACAGTGCTTGGGTTCAACCCCCAAGAAATATGTTATGGAGTATCTAAGTTGTGGTTATATACACAAAATTCAACTCTAAGCTAAACATGCGTGTGGTTTATCCAAAAACACTGATGTATCATAAGCTCCATTGACATCTGATGTGTATGAAAAGTTGAAATTTGTGCCTATTATTATGCAGATTAGGTAATTAGTATGTACGGATTTCAATCCAAAACCAATCTGGTCTGAAAATTGTCCAAGAGCATCTATCTACCATGAAAACTAAACTAATTGTTATGCAAACTAAGTAATCAATACCAGGGTTTTTTCTAGAAAAAATGAACAAGGGGGATCAACCTGGAAACCGTTTTAATGGTGTATCTATCACCATTGAAATATTTTTGGAGTAATTTTATTGTATTTGGTGTCAAGACACATTGTCAGCTGGTGTTGCTGGGAAGTTTTCACAGAGAAAAATATATTTGAGAAAGATTTCATGTTGTACGGTAGCACAGAAGTGTGTGGCTCAAGTAATGTATTTATGACTTGAAAGCTCAATAGGCAATTCGGTAAGAATGGGCCAGCCGAGAGTATCAGGACACTGCGGCCTGTTCCTCGGTTTAAAAAAACCTGAATACAACTTCAGTCTGTACCAGTCAGATTTGTGCATTGTACTAGGGCATCCATGTACCAAGTTCATTGTAATCTGTTGGCAATGAGTAGTTCTTAGATATATATCCATGGGAAAAACTGAAAATTGGCTAATCATTATCCAAATTAGGTAATTAATATGCATGGTTTCAACCCAAACTCCATCAGATGTGTACATTGTCCATCTATATACCAAGTTTTATTGGAATCTGTTGATTGGTTCTTAGATAACCATGAAAAAGCTGAAACATTGGCTGATTATTATGCAAATTTGTTAAAGGGCGATAGTTGTCGCACCACAGACGTGCGAGATATATGGGTCTCATATAAACAAAGATGGAGACTTTGACTGCTGCGCGGATCAACAAGTACAAACTGAGACGTTACCAAGCTTTATTAAGGTATTTTTAGGTGGTTGGAAGGTATCGAAGAAGTCACCGATGGAAATTAGCGCAAGATGCGCCCAGGTCAAACCTCATACTTGTGATTTCCATTAGAAGAGCGCATTAGGTTGTGGGAAAATCAATGTTTATCAACACAAATGTCGCACATGCGCAGCGCGACGACTGCCGCCCTTTAAGTAATATGTATGGATTTCAACAGAAACTAATCAAGTCTGCGAGTTGTCACCAAGTTGTACCAAGTTTCATTGAAATCCTACAAACTGTTCTTGAGATAATGGTGAGACGTACATTGTGTTTACACACACATACATGCATACGAAAACACAGACAGGCTAATTGTAACAAAATAAAAAGTTGATTATTTGATAAGGAGAGAAGATAAGAAAATATTTTGTCAGTTTTAAAGCACAAGAAATGTGGTTTTAGCTAACTAGTTAAGTTAACGAATTTGTAATTTCACTAATTCAAATTAAATTTAATTCAAAATAATGTATAAATTAAAATTCTTGTAATTAAAAACTCTCATCAAGTATGATTATTTTTTCCACCCCCAACCTACAAAGTTTGTAATGGTATACCCATAAATGACTTGCAACAGAATACAACATTAATATAAATAAACTTGAATCTACACTAACATACTAATCTCAGATGAAAGAGCTACAGAATGCAATTTACAGTTTTGTATATGGTGTTCCATTCTCTAGAAATTTCAACTATGAAGTTCACCATCTTGATTCTCCAGCAAAGGATTTTGGGTAAAGTACAACATATCTGCTGTTGTGAAAAATAGACTTTCATCAATTCTAAAATAGTACAAATGTATTTCAAGTTGGTTGGAATTTAGTTTAGTTTAGAATATGGTTACATACAGGTGCCACTCATAGAATGGTCTTCCTAGCAAAAGAGCTTTAAAAATTTATTTTCACATTTTTCTACCAAATGCTCAATTCTACTAGCTTATGCATGTTATAGATAATTTTATCACCACAAAATTGGGATGAAGGAGTGTCTTTATATTTTCAATAGTCAATATAACAATTTTCATTTATTTTACCTTATTTGCAAAATTTCTATTATAATAATGAATTCATGTTCTTTATCTTTTGCAACAGATGTTGTGATGTTATATTTCATCCAAATTTCCTTGCTTGAAAATCAAATAGTGTACAGCATATACTTATACCAATTAAACAGTTGAACATTTATAGCAGGAAAAGTGATATAAAAATCTGTAAACTGCATTCCCCCGCATTTGGAGCTATTTTAATGATTTTGATCATTATTTGTTTCGAGGAACTCAAGGAAAAGAGCTAATTACTTAAAGGGCGGCGGTCGTCGCGCCGCTTCCAGTTCGATATAACGAATTTACAGCAAGTCTCAGAAGTATTGGGGCAGCCAATTTGCAAACTCGCTAGCGAATTGGCTAACTGCTTAGGTTTTGACTAAACGGTTGGCTTTCGAATCTAACTGACGCTGTCTTGCGGTCACGCCCACTTAAGACGAATCTATGTAACAGTAGGGGACGATCCTCATACTTTATGAGCTAATCAGCGACGGTCTTTACAGTTGAATGGTGATTTCGCTTTGAAATATACCAGGGAAAGTCTTCTATGCTCTTCGTGTCCACACAAAAACGACGAATGAGGTTGATTTTTTTCAGCGGTTGGCTTACCCCAACGGATCGTTTGAGTGTGAAAGTTTGTTATTTTCTCCCTGATTTGTAGGAAACTGTTTCTCAACTTATCTATTTGGTTTCAAGCAGTGTTCAAGAAGGTTAACCTCATATAATAAATATCGGTAGATTAATCGCATTTATAATATTATCACGCCAGCTGACTGTGGCAATTTTTGGGCTCAAATCATTCAGGGGAATCCAGACATGTACCAGCCTGAGGATGCGTAAAAACATTCTATGTCCCCTAATGCAATATAGACTCACCAAGATGGACGCGAACACAAACCGGCGCCAGCGAGATTCGAAAGCCAACTGTTTAATCAAAACCCAAGCAGTTAGCCAATTCGCTAG